CCCACCGCGCGGGCCATCCCTTCCCACGCACTCACTCACTCGCCGCACGCTCTCCCGCCTGTCCGGATCTCCCATCCCCCCGCCCCCTGGGGCCCTTCGCCTTCGCCGCCGGTCTCCTCGCCAGCTTCCAGAAGCTCATGGACAGCCACTGCACTTCGGTGCGAACCTGCGTCGACCAGTTGGAGTCGGTGCTCGCCAACCCGGCCGCCACGGCCAAGTCTGCCGCCGCCGCCCGCCCGGATGCCGTCTATGAAACCCTTGCCCGCTGCATGATCCCGGTTCGTTTTTTTTGGCCCCCCCCCTCCCCCCTCCCCCCTCCCTGTCCCTCCTTTCCGTTGCTGACTCCATGGCATAGGTGGCCGCCCGGTTTGGCAACCTGTATCGGTCACTGCTGACGTTGAGCTCGCCGACACACGACTTCGTCGGGTCGCCCGGGTCACTGGCGTCGCCAAATTCGGGCCTCGGAGGCCCGGGCACTCCCGGCCCGGCTGGCCGGGTGTCCACCTCCTCTCACATGTCGATGTCCCGTTCGCCGTCGGTGGCGTCGTTGTCCGGGGCGGCCGGCTTTGGCCCCGGGGCGCTGACCAGCGCATCGGTGGCCTCGGAACTGGCCCCGGTGGCCCAGAGCCTGCAGCGCCTGCGCACCGAGGTGGAGTCGGCCTTCTTCCGGTCGGCCAGTCTGCTGGTGGACGACCGGCGCCGGTACACCGTGTACCTGCTCCGGTGCTATGATTCGGTGGTCCGGGCCTTTGACTCGGTGCGCCAGACCCGCCTCTTCTGTTTGGCCGGCTGCCCCTCTTGCCCCTCCGGCTCGGCTGCCACACCCACAAGCTTACTCTCTCTCCCCCTCCTGCCCCCCCCCCTCTGTCTCTCTCCCCCCTCGCCCCTTGTCGCCTTGCTGGCGGCCTTCTGCCCGCAGTCCACCCTCCAGGCCCTGGAGGAAGAGCGCAACTACTGGATGCAAATGCGCGCCCCGCAGATGTCGCACCTGGTCTACGAGGAAATCGCCATTCACCTGCCGCAGCTGGTGAGCGTTGGCCGGTCGCTCTTGCGTGCCAAGAATCGCGACCAGACCCAGCCCACCGGGCGTCGGGCCACCGATCCCACCAGTGACGCCTCGCTCGAGACCGTGGCCAAGGAGTTCCACAACAACTGGCGCAAGGGTACGTGCCTCGACCGCTGGCGCCATGTGCCGGTTGCCCCCCCCCCCCCCCCCCCTCCCCCTCCCCCCTGCCTCTGTTGACCATGCTGCCTGTTCGTTCGCACGGCGCTCAGTCTTGTCTCAAGTGCGCACGGACCTGCCGCTGCTCTTCCCGGGCAATGACTTCCTGGCGTCCGAGGTGGCCCAGTCCATCCTCCGGGAGTTCCTTGTTCTCTACTCCGGCTTCTTGCAGTTTGTCGAAGAGCGGTGCGTCCGGCGGCCCCTTCCCCCCCCCCCCCCCCTCCACCCCCCTGGCCCACCGATCCGCCCCTGCAACGGCATCCACGACAGCTACGGGCGGAACAGTCGGCCACCTTTCTCGGTCCAACCGCCGCCCTTCGAAACGGTCAAGTTCGAGACCCGCAACGCTTGGCCCAGCAACAGCATGTAGTGTTTGGCGCATCGCGCTCGCCCTGCTACGCGTCCAGGCAGGTGTTCCCTTCTCTCCCCAGAATATACCTCGCCCTCCCAACACAGTGCCCTCGATTGTGTGTATCACACGACCTGATACTGCCAACCCACCCGCCCCGGGCGGGAATGTCGCGCCTCCCCCTTCCTTTCGCCCTCCTTTCCCCCCCCCCCCTCCCCCCCGGACCAGCATGTCTTTTTGTGTACGCCCCCTGCCCCCGGCCCCTTTCCCTCCCTGGCTGTGTTGTGTCCCCGGCTGTGCCTGGGGTCTGCACCGGGTTTCGGGCCACCGCCGCAGAGACTATGACGCAGGGTGGGGGGAGTTCGGGGGAGACTCTCCCGGTTCGGCGAGGGGCCCGGCCCCTGCGTAGGCAGGGGCTTTCTCATGTGAAGGGCTGATGGGCCGGCCGCCGGCCGGGAGAGGGCGGCGCGAGCCACACAGGGGGCCGAGTGATCGGGCTGGGCGACCAAGTCGCGCCGGATTCCCGCCGGGCCCGGGAAATGCCCCGCCACTCCCGCCCCTACCCCCCAGCCCCGCCTCCCCTGGGGCCGGGCGCCACCTGAATGGCGAACACCGGCCCCGGGCGCGCCGCAGCCCCCTGCCCACCTCCCCAACTTCGGTCCTCGGGGGGGGGGGGGGGGGGGGGGGGGGGGACACAACAGTCCGGCGCCCCGACTTGGTTCAAGAGGCCCTGCCCTGGGCCGCGACCGCATCCCGCCAGGCGGACATCATACTTTCTCCCGCCCCCTCCCCCCCCCTCGCCATCCCTCTTCTACTTCTCCCCCCTGTGCGGTCCTCCCCCTGAGCAGCGCCCGTAGCTCGCCCCAAAGAGAGAGCGAAACACACACACACACACACGCACACACACACACACACACACACACACGCGCGCGCATACAGAGATGCGACACTCCCAGGCTCACTCGCTTCTGCTCCTGGTGCTGGCCCTCCTGGCTGCCACCTGCGCGGCGGCCGGTGCCTCGGCCTCGGCCTCTGCCACCACCTCCGCCGGCGCCCCTGCCGAGGAGCCGCAGTTCAAGCTGTCACAGGAGTTCTTGGACACCTTCGCCATGCCCGAGGACAATGAAGCCATCACCAAGCGCCGGAACAAGTACTTCATGGACCACTCGACGCTCATCGAATCGCGGGCTGCCTTTGACGATCTGGTTGGCGCGTCGACCGCCAAGTTGACCGCCGTGTCCTTCTATTCCGGCAGTGCGTGCCCGCCCCTCCCCCGCCCCCCCTCTGCCCCCACCCCCCCCCCCCCCCCCCCCCCCCCCTCCCCCCCCCCCCCCCCCCGCCCCCCCCCACCCGCCCTGCTCCCCCTCCGCCGGGCCGCCGGCCCATCGCCTCGGTCTCTGTCCATGCTGGCAGCCCACTCTGACTTGTGCGCCATGGCCTCCCCCTGCTCCTCCCTTCCGTGTCTTCTCCTCGGCCCGGTCCCCGGTCTCCGGCCCCCGGTTCCACCTCGCCCACCCTCGCGCGAGGGCAGACTGTGTCGCGTGCAACCACGTCCATGCCACCCTGGGCGCGATCGCCGAGCACCAGGCCGCACAGCCGGCCACCGCCGGGCGCATCCCCATTCACCGGGTCTTCTGCCCGGTGCATGAGTCCCAGTCGGCCGAGCTGACCGCCCTGTGCGGGGAGTTCCGCAACCGCGCGCGCAATGACAACCCGGATCTGGTGCTCTTCGGCCCGGGGGGCATGCACCTGGGGTCGGTCAATGAAACGGCCACGGCCGAGCTGATCTCCGCCCATGTGGCCCAGACGACCGTGGCCCCGGATCAGGACAATCCCGCGGATGTGGCCTTCTCGGCGGCGGCCCCCACCGTGGCCAGCTTCTCGGCCAATGACCTGCTTCGATACCTGCGGTATGCGGCCGCCGCGCAGGGGAGCTCCAGCGGGGCGGCCATTGCCCAGGCGGCCCTGGCCGATCCGGCGGCTCGGCGTCTGCTCGCCGGCGCCGGAGCCGCCCTCGTCCAGACGGAGGAGGAGCTGAATCGCGAGCTGCGCGCCTTCCCGGTGGTGGTCATCATCGGGGCCGAGGACCTGGACGCGTTGGAGGCCGTCTGGCCGCAGACGCCGGCCACGCTGCGGCGCTTCGCCGAGCGCGCGCGCGTTCTCGTGGTCCTGGCCGAGCCGGATGGCGGGGCCCTGGTCAAGCGGGCCTTCCGCGGGACCAAGATCGGCCTGCATGGGCTCGACTCGTCGGACCCGCCGCAGGTCCTCCTGGTGTCGGATGTGCGCTTCTCGGCCCCGTCTCTGGGCTCCCCTTTTTGCCCCCCCCCCCCCTTTCTCGGTGTGTGCCGTGCTGCTGGTCCTCGACTGACATGCGCCAACGCCGGGCGTCCGGGCCCACTCGTCTGCCCGCCATGCGCTCCACGCGCAGTATGGCAAGGACCGTCTGCTGCACGACTCGCTCTCCGGCCCGACCGAGACGTCGATCCTCAAGTCCATCGACCTCCTGGGCGTGACTCCCTTCGCTGAGCGTGCGCCGCCCCCCCCCCCCTCCCTTCCCCATACGCCTGTTGCCTCTGTCGTCCTGCTGCTTATGCCCAGCTGTTTACTTACTTCGCCCGCCGCCGCCGCCGCCGCCGCCGCCCCTCTTGCACTGCGCTTGCCTCCCACAGTCAACAGCCATCGGTCGGTGGAGCAATTCTTCTCCATGGGCGTGCCCACGGTGCTGGTTCTGCACAGCTCCACAGCCGAGGGGGCCACCCTCGCGGAGCACCGGCGGGTGCTGACCGGCACCCGGGATGCCCTCCGGTCGGCCCTCTTCCCGGACAGCCGGCTCCGGTATACCTTCGCCTCGGTGGATGTTGGACCGCGTCCCGGGCTGGCTGCCATGTATGGTGTGGATGCCGGGTGCCGACAGGTCGACCCCGCCGGACGCCTGTGCGGCGTGGTCATCGAGGATACGCCGAATCTCAAGCGCTACCGGTGCGACTTCCCGCCGGTGGCGGCCGCCGATGGCGCCGACCCGAAGAAGGGTTCCACCGAGGGCGGGCCGCGCTTCTTGGCCGACTTTGCCCAAACGGTGAAGACCTGCCTCCAGCAGTTTGAGAAGGGCCAGCTGACTCCTTACCAGTTGTACGTCCCCCTCCTTCGGGGCTCGCCGTCGGCCAATGCTTTCCCGTCCTCCTCTAACCCTCGGGCCCTTGTTTGGCTTGTCCGGCTTGTTCGGCCTGTTCGGCTTGTCCGGCCTGTCCGGCTTGTCCGGCCTGTTCGGCTTGTCCGGCCTGTTCGGCTTGTTCGGCTTGTCCGGCCTGTTCGGCTTGTTCGGCTTGTTCGGCTTGTCCGACTTGTTCGGCTTGTTCGGCTTGTTCGGCTT